CGTTCCCCATGGATAGGAGAAGGGCTGTGGAAGAGTGCGGTGCCCCCGCCACTCCACCTTCGAGCCCCTTCCTGGCCCTGCTCAAGGGTTAGCGAGAGGGTCAGTCGGGAGAGAGGCCAGGACACATGGATGGAGCCTCAGGGCTTAGTGGAAGTTGAAGTTAGGGTTGTGTTAAGATTGGGGTTGAGCCCTAGCCAGTTTGGCTCAGTGGATAGGAGCGTCGACCTTCGACTAAAGGGTCCCAGGTTCAATTCCGGTCAAGGGCACATGCCTGGGTTGCAGGGTCGATCCCCAGTGGGGGCCATGAAGGAGGCAGCCGATCAATGATTCCCTCTCATCATTGATGTTTCTATCTCTCTCTCCCTCTTCCTTCCTCTCTGACATAAAAAATAATAAAAAAGATTGGGGTTGAGGTGGAGGCTGGAAGTGGATGCAGGATTGAGGGTTGGGGGTGGAGGCAGCAGAGGCCCCCAGCGAGTGAGAGCGCCCCACAGGCCTGCTGCATTCCTGGTCCCTGGTTACTCAGCCTCACGCTGGCTGCCAGCTCACCCCGGCTCAGCATTTGGCTGGGAGCTTTCACTTCCTCTGGCTGGCCTGGCTCCTCAGCTACCTCAGCCCGGCTGGAGGGGATTTCTTGTCTCTGTGTTGGGGAGACAAAGGGAAGGATGGGGGGTATCCAGACAGGGGGATCCCCTGGGCACAGTTGATGGGCATGAGATGAAAAGAACCAGCTGAGGTTGCCACTGGGGGCGGGGCAAGGTGCTGGAGGGCTTTGGGAAGAAAAGAGTGGGGAGCAGGAGGTGGGCTGAAAGAGCCAGGGCCAGGAAGCTGGGAGGCCTGGGTTCCTGGGTTCAGTTTCCAGCTCTGAAGCATTGAAAAGAGACTGGGGGGCAAGGGGCGGGGGGAACCTGGAGAAAGAGAACAAAATAACAATGAGAGACAGTGACCGAGACAGCAAGACAGAGAGAGCCAGTGGGACATGACGTGTAGACACAAGAAGTACAGATAGGAATGGAGAGACCAATGGAAACTGAGACAGAAAAGGATGGACAGGACAAGGGGGAGAACAGAAAGGGAAATGGGAAAAAGGAAGAAGAGGTAGACCGAGAGGAAGGAGGAGAGAAACAGCAATGAAAGAGGAAATGAGCTGAAGACGGAAAGGTCAAACAACGTGAAACAGAGACCTGGAGGGGCCAGAGAAAGGGGTGGGTGCGGAGCTGGAAGAGGCCTCCTGACACCCCGTTTCCCATGCCCTAACCTCCGCATCCCTGAGGTGGTGTGTACTTTCCCCGTGACTTTCAACTGCCCTTAGTGACTGGTCTTGGGCCACGGGGGTATCTGGGTTTGGATTTCTACTCCACTGAGTTACACAAACCTTTTAAATCCCACAGCCCCAGGGGACTGCAAAGACTATCCTTGGAGGCATCTGCACTGGGCAGGGGCAGGGAGGAGAGGGGGATGGGCAGAGTAACTGCGGGATGGCTACCGAAGCAGAGTGAGAAGGGGCCTGGGAGGGGGCACAGGGCCGAGGAGTAAGAAGGAGGGGGCTGGACCCTGGGGTGGGGAGGAGTGGCAGGGAGGGAGGGGGCTCTCCCAGGTGGGGGGCGATGGCTGGAAGGGCAGAGCTGCAGGAGGGACATGGGGTTCAGATGGCTAGATTCCCAGCCACAGAGCATCAATCAGGAGTCTGTTCTGCCCTAGGCCTGGGCTCTCTGGGGGCGGGGGGGGGGGGGGGGGGGGCGGGGGGGCTGTGGCAGAAGGAGGAACAAGATGCCCTGGGGTCTCTGTGAAGAGAAGACATCCATCCCTGCACCTTCCTCCTAATTCCCCAAGTGAGAAAGTGATTGGACCTGCCCTCCCCAGGCCCCAGCCCATCTTGCTCTCCTCCTAAGCAGCTTTAGCTAATCGCATTAAGGGAGGTCTCAGGACGAACACTCTCCACGTGGGGCTGAGATCAAGGGGAGAAACCAGAGGCTTCTAATCAGATCCAGGATTTGGGGATGGCCGTTTGCTCGGTACTAACAAGCATAAAATCCCCCTCCTCACACCCCAGCCGCCATCTCTGTATTAACACTGCTGCCCTTCTGATCTCCCCCCGCCAACTTGTGTACCTGGATCTCACCTGTGCCCACAGTCCCTTTCCACAACTCTATTTCTCTGTTGCATTCTCTCTGACTCTCTTTCTTGCTGATTCTCTTGCTCTGCCTCTTTCCCTCCACCTTTGTGTTTAGAAACAGCCCCGTTTTCCCACTGAATCAATCAAGCAGTCTCTAGACTTGGTTGTGTCCAGTCCATCAGCTCCTGCAGCCCCTCCGAAAGCCCCACAACAAAATGACTTTTGATGCAAGTTTCTACTTTGCAGAGATGCAGTGTTGGTCTTGAACTCTCGCCCCCCCTGTCCCCCCGCCCCTCCATGTGTTTCTGTCTTTCTCATCCTTTCTGTATTCCACTCTGCCCATCGGACTGCCCTCTGGCGTCCTGGGTCCTCCACGGATCATTTTTCTGGCAAACAGCCCACTTCTTAGGTTTACACTGGGTGCCTCCTTCAGCGCCCATGGCCTCCTGCCAGCCTCCTCTCTCTGCTCCCAAGTTTCAACTTCAACTTTTCTGCCACGATGGACAGATTACAGCTGGGAGCCTCGAGTCAGACAGACCTGTTCCCATCCGGCTCCACCACTTGCCCGAGGATCTTATGCAAGTCTCGGAATCGTCTGAGCCTCGATTTCCTAGGCTTGCAAAACAGAGATAACAATACCCACCTCAAAGGGTTATTGTGAAGACTTGGGGAAGTAACACATGACCAAAGGAGTGTCAAACCCAATGCTGAGTGCATGATAGGGACCCAACGCATATTAACTAAACTCTTAAAAAGGTAAACTCTACTCTTGACATTTCCTTGGGCTCCAAGGTCTCGTTTAAAGCATACTCCCTATGGTTATCATCATGATCTCTCTTGCTTCTAATAAATAATGACCTAAAACCTACATGTGTTGTAATATGCACTTGTGTTGGCCAAGGGAATTTATCTTATTATCAGTAACCAGATGGTGATGACAATAATGATTGCTCACTGCTATAACCCTTCGAGAAACACCAGGCACTTAAGTGCAGCCTCTCAGATGATTCAAGATTGGGTTATAATCCTTCTTGATTTCTAGTTCTCAATGCGTATCCTCATAGGACTGTAGGGACTACGCAGAGCCTGGTAGAGCCGCCCCAAGCTTTGCACAGATAGCTCACAGCACAGGAGGGAGGGAGCTGGGAGATGGGGAGGGAGACAGAGTGGGACTATCTACCTCACTCAGCCTTGGAGCATCACCAGGAGTATGGGTTAAAATGGAAGCACAAGGTATTAAGGTTAAACACCAAGAATAATTCTTGAGCAAGAAGGCAGAACTAAAATCTGCTCCTCTCTGGGGTACCCAAGGTTTCTCAGCTCAAAAAGGAAGGACTTGAGGGGAGACCTTTGGCAAGACTTGCCAGCAGTCAGTATTTCCACATCCAGAACCGGTGAGCTCCTCAGAGACTTAGGATTCCAGGAGGGACTCTCAGACACCACCAGGCCAGGGAGGGGCTGCGGGCATTCAGGTATTCCTCAGACACCCAGAAGCTTAACCCACTTTGATTCTGTATTTTGGTGTTTTGTTTTTTCTTCTTCTTTTGGCGCAGAAGACAGGGTGTTTGTAGGCTACCTACATGGCGGATCATCAATCTTGATTTAAGGTCTTGCTTTCCACTTTTGCACTTGGAGTTGCATGGCCTTAGAGAAGTTACTCCACCCCTCTGAGCTCCAGCCTGTCTGATACTTTCTGAGAGGTTCAGGGCCTGTCAGCTCCTCAGCACAGTGCAGGGGCGCTGAGTATCTGCTTCGAGGCAGATTATCAATCTCTTCTTGCCAGATCCTAAATCTACGCCAAGGTCTCAAACCTTCCAGACCAGGACGTACCCTCAGATCCAGCAGGCACTGGGGCAGTCACAGGAACTTTATCAGCTTCCCTCAAGGAAGAGTTTTCCCTGGAATCGCTCCCTGCTGCAATGCCCACTTCCCAACCCATTTTTCTAAGGTGAGGAAGGAGAAGGTAGATGGAGGAGGAGCTTCCCCTAAGGACGGGGCAGGAAATGAGGAGGAGGAAAGGGGGTCTGCTTCAGGGGAGAGAAGGAAGGAGAGAAGAGGATTCTAGAATGTCAGCTGTCATTTTAGAGAGAGAGGGATGTATGGAAAACCTATTCACCCAAATTCAGAGTGGCATTGACCTAATCATTGCCCTAATTTCCAGAGATGTTCTCTGCTCAGGCCAGACTGGGGGCCCCAGAAGCACCTGCCCCCCTGCCCACCATGAGCGTCCATTCTTTCAGTTGACCTCCCTGGGAAAGGGAGAGCAAGAGACCCCATGGCCTCTTGGTGTGGGGGTGGGGAGAGCAGGAAGGGTCTTAACACCTGTGGTGCTTGGGATCCCTTGGCTTTCTAACACCCACAGCTCCGTGTTGCTGTATCCCATGTATTCTTGTTACTCAAAGTATGGTCCATCGGCCAGTAGCAGGGGCACCACCCAGGAGCTTGTTAGAAATGCAGAATCTCAGGTTCCACCAAGTTCCACTGAGTCAGAATCTGCACTTAAAGAGATCCTCAGGGGATTCTTATGCACATTAGAGTTTCAGTAGCACGACTACAGATTTTTTTTTTTTTAAGTCTTGAAGCATCACTTTGAAAAATGAGAAAAGAGTCCTTATTGGTTTGGCTTAGTGGATGGAGTGGACTGAAGGGTCCCAGGTTTGATTCCGGTCAAAGGGCACATACGTCAGTTGTAGGCTCCAATCCTGGCCCCAGTTGGTGCACAGGAGGCAACCAGTCGATGTGTTGCTCTCACATCAATGTTTCTCTCTCTCTGTGTGTCTCTACCCCTCCCTTCCAATCTCTCTTAAAAAAATCAATGGAAAAGTATCCTTAAGTGAGGATTAACAAAATAAATAAATAAATAAACAAACAAACAAACAAATAAATAAATAAAACGAGAAATGAGAAAGTGCTGTGGATTAGGAGTGGGGGTATAGCAGTTAAACACCATGTGTCAGCTGCTTTCCCTCTCTGAGCCTGGACTGGAGAGGGAGGCAGCTACTCCAGCCAAACACTCACATGCCCTCCAGACCTTAGCACCTAGTAAGTTCCAGTAGAGAATGAAGCTCACCTGACACCCATGTATCAGAGATGGGAACCCAGCACCCAGGCCTTGTAAACCCATCCCCTGTTTACAAGGGGTCCTTCCGTCCAGGTAACCCCTCTAGGTCCACCCCCAGGAGCAGGCTGCGTCCTGCCATCCCCATGGCAAGCTCTCCCATCCCTCCGCAGCCCTCTTGCTCATCGTTTCCTCTTCCACTAGTGACAGAGGGTGCCAGCCTTTCGGCACCAGCCTCAGTCCCACCCAAAGGCTTTGGGACTTAGACATTTTCTCTCCTCCCTTCGCCTGCATCACACTGGGGCTCATTCAACCATCTTCTCCCCATCTGACTGCCACCCACCCACCATGCCGAATTGGGAATCAACGAATTCCCTTCTTCCTTGCTCATGTTCATTAATCCAACAAATATTTACGGAGCACCTGGGAGTGCAAGGCCCTGGGCTAGGATGGGCTCTAGGGAACCGGCAGGGAACAAGACAGCTGGGGTTCCAGACCTCATGGAGCTAACACACTGAGGGAGAAGGCAGGTGTTAATCACATGGAGGCACCATTGATCAATTCAGTACCATTCATTGATGGTATCAACAATCATTTCTTGAACACCTATGATGTGCCAGATACTTTCTTAGGCACTTGAGACTCATCAGTGAAAAAAAACACACACAAAAATTCTGCTCTTCTCAAATGTAAAATTAGTCTAAGTACAATGATGGCAGGGGTTCTCTGTGTCTGCCATCTCCTCCCATTCAAGATTTAGAAAGAGCCAATAATTAATTAATTACATTTGGTCTTATCTTGGGAAAAACTCCAATCCTATTAAGCCCTGCAAAGAGATCTCCTCTGTCTAAATCCTCCCGTGGGGGCAGGATATAGGACCCTTTGCCTTCCTTTCCATCTATATAAGTGACTCAGCATCTTGGGGTCAGCTCCTGGCCAGTGAGGAGGTTGCCAGAGGAGGGGGGCGTGGGGGAGCTTCCTGCCCCAGACCCTGCTCCCCTGCCTCAGTCTCCCTTTTCTCCCCTCATCTCTTCCCTCTTATCTCCTTCCTTCTCTTCCTCCCTCCTCCCGCCCTCTTCCACCTCCCTCTCCCTTGCCTTCTCCTTTGCCTTCTTCTTCCCCCCAAAGCCCAGACACAGTTCCAGACTGGAACATGTACCGCAGCTGCTTGGCAGAGGGCGTCCCCACCGTTGCGGGCAACTCCTGGATCTCAGGTGAGCCTCTGCCAGGTCTCCCACCCATGGTCCACCAGGGCGCTGGAGGCATTCACACTGCCCTCTCTGCCCCAGGCTTGGCCTTCCCTGACTGGGCCTACAAAGCCGAGTCGTCCCCAGGCTCCCGGCAGATCCAGCTGTGGCACTTCATCCTGGAGTTGCTGCAGAAGGAAGAGTTCCGCCATGTCATCGCCTGGCAGCAGGGAGAGTACGGGGAGTTTGTCATCAAGGATCCAGACGAGGTGGCCCGCCTCTGGGGCCGCAGGAAGTGCAAACCACAGATGAATTATGACAAGCTGAGCCGGGCCCTCAGGTGAGAGAAGACAGCTCCAGTGGCCAGTCAGGGCAGAGTTCAGAGAAAAGGGCTGTGGTTTCTGGCACTCCACCTGATTCCTGCCCCTTCAAGGCTTGGGAAATGATCATGAGTGGTTATGCAGGAACAGCTTGGGGTTAGCCTTGCTGGCCTGGGGAGGGGACATAGGTGGGTCTCAGACTACATTCCCTGTCCATTGGGCCAACTCTCCATTCTCATCCTTGGGATCTCCAGATATTACTACAATAAGAAGATCCTGCACAAGACCAAAGGCAAAAGGTTCACTTACAAGTTCAACTTAAGCAAGCTCATTGTAGTCAACTGTCCTCTATGGGAGGTACGGGCAATGCCGGCCCCCAACTTGTTTCGGCCAACCCTGGTGCCCATGGGCATGCAGAGTAAGGTAAGTGTGAAGGCAGCCCCTTGCCCCGGGCTCCACCAGAGACCAATCTTCCTGCCTAGCCCGCCCCCAGCCCTCCTTTCTGCCTCAGGGGCCCAGCAGCTTCCCATGTCCTTCTTCCCTTGCATCCTAGTCCCTGAGTGCCCAGGGTTAATACTCTAAATCTTCTAAGATACTCTAAAATATCCCTGTGCTAGGCATCACGCCTTTAGGGGTGCATCACAGGGAACGAGTGGGGGGTCTCAGGCAAGGGTCCAAGGCATGTGGGCAGGGGTGATTTAACAACCATTATGAGAGCATTTCATTGTTTTAACAACTGGTTGTTAAAACAGTAAGTCCTGGGGAATGTGTGCCAGGGAGAGCCCATCCCTCCCCCACACCTGCTGCTCCTCGCTCCGCAGCTCCTACACAGCATGCTGTTCACCCGCTGGGCCATGGTGGAGCAGCTGGCTGGACAGTGGGCCCTCCGAGGGCCACCAAAGGCCTCTGAGGATAAGAAGGGGAGCAGCAGCCGTATCTACCGTGAGTGCCTGGGACTGGGAAGGGCCCAGGGAGTACCCTCCTGGGTGAACACATGGGCGAGGGAGCACGAGACAAGCCTAGCAGGACATTTGGTTTAGTCCAAAACACTCACACCTCAAGGTCCCTGAGATTTGATCCTGTCCAAAATGTCCATGGAGCCCGACCGGCCGTGGCTCAGAGGTTGAGTGTCGACCTATGAACCAGGAGGTCATGGTTTGATTCCCGGTCAGGGCACATGCCTGGGTTGAGGGCTTAAACCCCAGGGCGGGGCATGCAGGAGGCAGCCAATCAATGATCCTCTCATCATGGATGTTTCTCTCTCTCTCCCTCTCCCTTCCTCTCTGAAATCAATAAAAATATATATATATATATTTTTAAAAAAAGATGTTCAGAGACTAGTGGGGAGAAAAGATGGGAGTACAGCCAGTGACAGATCAGAGGTTCGGGGAAGCACAGGTGCTACAGGAATGCAGAGAAGGAGTTGGGGCTTCCAGGGGAAGCAGGTGGAGAAAGATGCCTGGGTACAGAATAGCATTTGTAAAGCAAAAGGCTGTGAGTGAGGGTAGCAAATCTGAAGAACTGCTGGTAGCTTGCCATGAGCAGAGCGGAGTTATGTGATGGTGGGGACACGGAGGAAGGTGACAGATGAGGCTAGCAAGGCAAACAGGTGTCCAGTCACAGAGGTCCTCTGAAGCCATGCTAAGGGGATGGACTTTATCCTGGGAGCAGGAGGGGTCCGGGAGGGAGAGGCATGTTGAGATCTTCATTTTACGAAGATGGCTTGGGTTCATGTTGACTTTGGGTTGGGGTAGGCATAGGACTGGTATTGGGAGGCTTTTGAAGAGACTCTAGACTGACGATGATGGGACCCGCACAAGGAAGGGCCATGGGATGGAGGAGACTCAACCAGGAAAAGGCAAATGTGGCAGCATATAGTGACCTGAGCGGGAGAAGGTCGGACTGTATGCAGAGGCCAGCACTTACAGGGCTGTATGCTAGGAAGTGACAAAAATCAGATTTTCTGTGGAAAAGATCACACAGACACAGACGCTTATGCAGAAGCCCACAGCCCACCCCTCTATCCCTTGGCGATTTCTTGGAATGAGAATTCTTGGCCTTAGCCCCAGCCCCAGTGTAGCTGGGGACGCAGAGGTCCCACCTCTCAGAGAATGCAGGATGCCTGGCTCTGGGCCCCTGTGGGTGCAGCTGAGGTTGTGGGCGTGGGGCGGCCCAGGGCCTGCTGGGACTCATCAGGCAGCCTGGAGCTAAACAGCACCTGAACAGCTCTCCCTGTTCTTCCACCCCAGCCACCTCTCCCCAGCTCTAGGAATGCCTTGGGCACAGCGCTTCTCTCTTTGGGAAACTATGGGGGGGGGGGGGTTCCCTGGATTGGAGTGGGCTATTTTGCACCTCTCTGGCCCAGGTACACACACACACACACACACCCGCCTGTGCTTGGGCCCCGAGGGGTGCTAAGCAGGTTTAGGTCACCAGAAGACCAGTAGCAGCCCCATGCCTTACCTGTGGATGGTGATTCCAGAAGGCTGTGCCAGCCCCTAACCTCCACCTTCGTGAGAGCACTCGGAGCCAAGGGAGGAAGCTCTCCAGGACTATTAAGGCAGAGGCAGAAGGTGCAAGACTGGTGCTAGGAAGGGGTGGGGGAGAAACAGTACTGTCTCCTCCACATGCCTATTCTGCTGTGGCTCTGCAAGGGCAGACACAGCCTTGACCTCAGAGGTCAGGGGACACACCTTCCTGGTGCAAAACAGCAGCCTCCACCTCATGTAAGAACCCTGGGAAAGGACAGTGGCCAGGAGAGGGTCCTCTGGCAGAGGACTCTGATTTTCCTAATGACGTATCAAGTTTTTTAAAAATATTTTTTAATTGATTTCAGAGATGAAGGGAGAGGGAGAGAGAGAGAGAGAGACATCAATGATGAGAGAGAATCATTGACCGGCTGCCTCCTGCACGCCCCCTACTGGGGATCAAGCCTGCAACCGGGGTATGTGCCCTGACCAGGAATTGAACCAGCAACCTCCTGGCTCATAGGTAGACGCTCAACCACGGAGCCATGTCAGCCAGGCGACGGATCACTTTTTACTGTTTTCCCCTTACATAGATCCAGCTTCAGAAATATTGTTTCTATTAAATAAATCAGTTATATTGTCATAACCAATTTGTTTTTCCAGTGTTTATCAGCAATAGCCCCACCAATGTGATCACATTGGGTTGGTACTTGCTCTCCTAGTTAAATGATAGCCTCACTAAGAAAAATGTAGAACTGGTGTTAGGTTTTTTTGGGTTTTGTTTTTTGAAATATACAAAGTGAAGTGAAGTTCTATATAGCCACCCCCAGGGACCCCAGCTTGGGAGCCCCTATGTAGGATCCTGGGGAAAGAGGACAGATTTGGAAGGACTAGAAGGAGGGAAGGCTCCTTGGAGGAGGAGAGTGATGGGCCGGAGCCATCTGGAGAAGAGGAAGACTGGGTCAGGCCACGTGCACTGGGCCCTTGGCTCTGTGGGCCCCTTCTTACTGATGACGTCGCCTGTTCTTACCTGGGAGAGGAGTGTTTATGAAGAAACAGGCCTGAGAATTTAAACGACAAGCATCAGGCCATGCAGCCAGTTCCTTGCCCAGCTAACCCTGGAGCCCCCTGCTACAGGGAGAGTGAAGGATGGATTCGCTGGGTATAGGGCAAAGGATATCTTCATTCATTCATTCCACACATTTTTATTGAGCCCTTTGATATGTGCCAGGTTGGGCTGGATTCAGAGGAAAATAAAACAGACTGTTCCTGCCCCCACAGAGCTATAATCACACAAATGACCGCCTGGTGCTAACGGGGCGGAGGGCCCTGCAGGAGAGGTGCTGGGGGTCACGAGGAGCGGCTGGGGCTCTTGCCCAGACTGGGGGGGGTCTCAGAGGTTTCCCCCTGAGGAAGTGACATTTACAATGAGACAGGAAGCAAAGAAGAAAGGAAGGCACACAGGATGGGGGAGAGGAAGTTTCAGCAAGAGGAAAAAGAAATGGGAAATGGGAGAAGAAAGGGGACCCTCTCGTGACCCGTTCTCTCTTTCTCTAGGACTTGGCTCTGCCTCCACCCACTGCCTGCTCAGCCCTTGCTGCCATTTGGGGGGCCTCCCAGAAGAGCAGCCCCGTTTTGCCTCCTTCACGCCTCCCCTCCCACCCTCTCTCTCCTCAGGGACCCTCTTGGCCCCACTTCTCCCAGAGCAGCAGTTTCCAGGGTCCCCCACGACAGACACCCTGCTCCCAGGGCCCACCTGCCCCCCAGCGACCTGGCATTTCCCGGGACTTCCCCTGCTGGCTAGGCTGGGCCAGGGGGGCGGTGAGAGGCTCAGGCTCTTGTTCCTTAGGCCAGAGGGGCTGGAGGTAAAGGCCCATCCCCTGATGGGGGAAAAGGGGTACCTGGATCCCTGGGAGGGCTTCTTCGCAGAGATGCAAAGACCCAAACCTGGGGAGGAAAGTCTTAGGTCCCCTAATTTGGAGAATTTTGAAGCAGAGTGGCCCTTGGATCCTCCTTAACTGAGGAGGAAGATGTGACGTGGGCCCCCAAGCTCCACCTCTTCCTCTGGCCCACCTCCCTGCCTGCTTTGCACCTCCCTGGGTGGAAATAAGTCTAAATTGTGGGAGGATTTGAATGGATGGAGTTGGATCCGAGGAGGTGGGGGGCATTGCCGAGAAGGAGCATATGTGGAGACGGGACAAACTGAGGCAGGGTGCCCCCTCCATCCCACTACATTGCTAATCAGATTAAGGAGATATTCTTTTTTTTTTTTTTTTCTTTTTTTTAATTTCAGAGAGGAAGGGAGAGGAAGAGAGAGATAGACACATCAATGATGAGAGAGAATCATCAATTGGTTGCCTCCTACACTCCCCACACTGGGGACTGATCCTGTAACCCAGGCATGTGCCCCGACCGGGAATCAAACAGTGACCTCCTGGTTCATAGGTCAATGCTCAACCACTGAGCCACGCTGGCTGGGCCTAAGGAGACATTCTGAATCTCAACTTATTTTGAGGGAGATGAGAAGAAGGTTTCCATCATTTGAAGCACCCCATACCTACCCCCATGAGGGGGAAATCAGAGGTCTAGCTTGGGAAGGGGATCAGGAATTGATTTGTTCCCTGAACATCAGGGCAACTCCTTTCTTCTCTGGGGCCCAAGTCCCTTACCCAGTCTCCCTGCTGCCCCTCCACATCCTTGTTTTCCATCCCTTTGATTTCTGTGACCTTGGGACGTGCATGCAGGCCCGTCCTTCTAGCTCCATTTCCCCAAGACCCAAGCAAGTGGGGTAGGGAGGTTCTCTGTAACACTCTACTGCAGACCATGAATAAAATGCCCTTGGCAAACTGGCCCCTTGGCTGACATTTCTGCTGCCCTCTGATGTGGTGTGGATCTAAACAGCACCCAAGATTCCTGATGGGAAGAGCGAGGGGGCTAGGGATGAGGCCTCAGTCGTGGAGCAGAAGTGGAAATGAAGCCAACCAGTCTCCTCCCTCCTGCTGTCATCACGTCCCAGAGAGAAAGGCTGAAAGCAGCCACTCTGGCCACGCAGACAGCCAGCCTCAAGGGGAGAACAGCAGCAGAGCAGGGCTTCTTCACAGAATGACCCTCAGATCCTGCCCTGGGTCTCTAAGCAGAGCTCTAAGGGGCTGGGGGTGAAGGAGGGTGTTGGCAGGGGTCCCTCCTGCTCTGAGCCCCAGGTCCTAAGAGTGATGGGAGGAGGTGAGGAAGCATTGGATGGCTAGGGAAGGGGAGACACATTAGGGTTTTTTGCTTAACCAAGGAAATGCCAAGGGGATTGAACCCTATTGCTCTCCTATCTCCAGGCTCGTCAATAACAGGGTCAGGATTTGTCTCCACTTATTTCTATTATGAGGAACAGAGACCGAGGAGGTACAGAGGACCTTTTTGTCCATCTTTTTTCCCCTCACTCAAAGAGTAAGGGTGCTTCCCTGTCCCTGGGATCCTTACATTTTGCTTTCTGTTACCTCTCGGTCCTTCCTTGTGGCAGCTGTGTCACTGTCAGGAGTGGAATGGGAAGGAGAAACCCAGAGTAGGACAGGGTTAGGCCTCACCCCACAGGAAGACTGAGGAAAGCAAGGAACCCAAACCCTGGGTTTCCAAGCTAGATATAGGCTGTAGCTTCCTGGTCAAGCTGCCCAGATGACCATGCTTATAATGCCTGGCCTCCCCATTGCTCTCCTCCTATTATTAATATTAATAACTAGCCAATCATGATGGAAGCTACAGCTTCACGCTCCCCAGGAAGCCACTGGCCCATTCCCTGCAGACCCCTGGAGGAAGGGATTGAACAAAGGGGGAGACGGGCACATGCACAACGAAGTTGGGGTGATGTAGGGAAGGTGCTTGTCTGTCCGTCTAGCCTGGAAAAAAGGTCATCCGTGAGGAGGGTAGAGCCACTGCAAACATACAAAATCACGGAAGGATAAAATCCCGAGTCCCCGCTCCCTTTTCTCTCTTGCTACGTGACCTGCACTCACCCTCCATGTGGCCTTAAGCAGCTGCACGGCCCATGGCCAGGCGGACCCCCCACACAATGGACTGCAGCTGGGAACACAGGCTAAGCCAGCCAGATGCTGGAATGGACTGGACTTGAATACGGAGCAGAAGTTCTGGGCAATGGCCTCCTAGCCCTGCTGAAGACAAGACTGGACTTCTTTCGTGGCAAGATGGATGGAGACTGGACCTCGGAGGGAAACCCTCTTGATTTTACATCGTCAATAAAGCTTTGCACGAAACCCCATCCTCCCATAGGAGCCTGGGAAATTATTTTCCTTTCAGCACCCCAAGAACTCCACTCCCACCGATAACAACCGCAGGGGCTGTAGAGAAAACTACTTCCGCCTCCTCCCAAAGCCGTAGGCCCGACTCCAGGGCTGTCCCAGCAACCTGCCCAGTTTGAGAAGACAGAGTTAGCATTGTCTGCTCTGGGAAGAGGGGCTTGAGCCCAGTTTAGAGAGGCCAGCCCCAGGGACAGGGCCCTATCATGGAAACCAGTGTGCCCGCTGCCTGACCCCTCCTCCTCTCCAGTGGTTTGTGGCTTCTGTGACCCACCACATTTCAGGCAGTGCTTCACGGCCACTATTCTAAAATTGCCCTTCGGGGTCGGTGAGTTCAGGAGACTGAAAACCCGGTTCCAGGGGACATCCGTGTCCAGGCGATGCACTCTGCATGTTAGACAACAGGTGCACGTAGAGCAGAGCTCCTCAGCCTCAGCGCCATTGACATGTTGGCTGCAAAATTCTCTGTTGTCAGGGGCTGTCTGTACATTCTAGAATGTTTAGTATGTCCCTGGCCCCTAGATAGCAATAGCACCCCCCCCCCCACACACACACACACACACACACTCCCTGCCTTCTCCAGACATTGTGAAATATCCCCTGGTGGGGGAAAAATCAACTCTGGTTGAGAATTTTTTTTTTTTTTTTTAGAATAGTTTATTGATTTTTAGAGAGAGAGGAAGGGAGAAGCGAGAAACATTGATGTGAGAGCGTAACATCATTGGCTGCCTCCTGCACGCTCCCCACAGTGGATCAAGCCTGCAACCCAGGCATGTGTCCTGACCAGGAATCGAACCAGCAACCTTTCCGTGCACAAAGGACACCCAACCAACTGAGCCACACCGGCCAGGACGGTTGAGAGTCTCTTAACCCGAGTATGGCTTCAGCAACTCAGGTTGTTCTGGCAAAGAGACCCAGGCGCCACAGAGAACTGTCGGTTCCCACATTGCAAGAATGCCCTCTGGTGGCCAGAGTTAATATCAGCGCTAGGAAGAGCTCAGAGCTCTGGACTGGTCTAGGGGGGTAGATCCCATGGGGGGCACTGTTTGAGGTGAAGGGATGATGGGTGCCTTAGAGTCTTCTGAAAACAGGAAGCAAGTTAGAGGACAAAAGCATTTTATAATAATCCTGCTGTTTTCAACTCCTTTTGCGAATCATGGACTAGTCACCCAAGGATCAGCAGGTCTAAGGTGACAACAGACTGCGGGTTGTCAGTTCCTCAGGCACATAATCGATGCTGCTATCAGTTCTAGACCACACTTTCTGGTCACCTGTGGGGGAACTGTGGACCCTGAGAAAGAAAATACCTCTAAGAAGGACTCTCAGTGACTTAACTGGGCTCAAGTTTAAAAAACAGAGCCTAGCAGCTATTTCTACACAGGCAAACCTCTCACAAAAACTACACTTCAGGGGGAAACCTGCACTAAACTGCCTGCCTCCCCACCCTGAACTGCCTGCCTGCACTGACAGTCAACTGAACCAGCCTTTATAAAGGAGTTCCTGGAATCCTATTTCAACCAATAGGACTGGGGCTTTCCCCATCCAATTGGCCCTATGCAGCTGTATTTCCATCAGCATATTTTTTTTAATATATTTTATTGATTTTTTACAGAGAGGAAGGGAGAGAGAGAGTTAGAAACATCGATGAGAGAGAAACATCGATCAGCTGCCTCCTGCACATCTCCCACTGGGGATATGCCCGCAACCCAGGTACATGCCCCCAACCGGAATCGAACCTGGGACCCTTCAGTCCGCAGGCCGACGCTCTATCCACTGAGCCAAACCGGTTTCGGCTCCATCAGCATATTTATGGACCAATCAGGGTGATGCCTTTGGGGCCAATCAAACTGCAGGGATTTGGAGTCCTCATTTGCATGAGGACCAATCAGGGACCAGGGGCAGGACTTCTGTCTATGTAAGTCAGCTCCCCTTTGGCTCTGGGACCACACTTTCCCTTTCCACCAAAGACCATTGATGGTCTCCTTGCTGGAGCTGAAGCAGAAACATTAAAGATGAAACACCAAAGATGTCTCAGCAGACCAGGGCCGGAGCAGAGGAGAGCTATCCCGCTAGAGAGGGCCCTGGTAGCCATGGTGTCCCACAAACTGTACTGCTTCATAACTGAGTGGTAACACGATGGGACTGCTCCACAGCTGTCCTCTGTTCACAGCCTTACTGTATCACAGTTCAGCTGTCTGCACTGAATAGTTTCCTTCTTCACTGCACCCCAAATTAGGGAATCCTGTTGGTGTTGAATTGGCATCAACAACCATCAGTTGACAGAACCAAGACAAGACTCAGCTTAGTCAGCTCACCAACCACCCCTGCTCCTGGGCCTTCAGGTCAATCACACCAAGGACAAAGACAGAAACACTCACTCAAGCAGAATTTTAGGGAGCCAGACTTGCAAGCTTCATGAAGCTTAGACTGTTAGGAGCCAGAGGGATCTTTGAGATCATCAAGTCCAACCCCTTAATTTTATAGGCCCAGAGAGAGGAATGGACTTGCTCAAAATTGTGCATGTAGAGGAGCCAGATTTAGAATGTAAATTTCCTAATTATCAGTTAATGTTCTTTCCATCTCACCATAATTACTTGGGCTGAGAGTGTAAGAGGTCCTTAAAATTCCTCAGAAATAAAAAGTATATTATATATTGAGAAAGAAATTTAAAAAGTCATTCCTGTGTGATATTTTTATTGTTTTGTTAATCCTCACCCAAGGATATTTTTTCCATTGATTTTTAAAGAGAGTGGAAAGAAGAGAGGAGGGAGGCAAAGAGAGAGAGAGAGAGAGAGAGAGAGAGAGAGAGAGAGAAACATCAATGTGAGAGACACATCAATTGTTTGCCTCCAGAATATACTAGTACCTCTACAGGGGATAGGGATCAAACCTGCAACCCATGTATATGCCCTTGACTAGGAATTGAACCCAAAATCCTTCGGTCTGCAG